CCGACCCGGACCCGGACCCGAGAACCGGGCCGATTCCGGGCCCGCACAGTGGCGGGCCGGTCCGGTCCCGGGCCGGGCGGCCCGAACCGGGTCCATGCCTAGGGACTACTATTTTCTGTCTATAAGTTTCTAACGATATGAAGTACACATGAGTACATGATCTACCAAGTTGTGTCTATAAGTTTCTAACGATATGAAGTACACATGAGTACATGATCTACCAAGTTGTCTGTCGAGCCATTGGTACTTTTATTTGTATTTGAATCTTCCAAATACTCCACTTAGTGCTACGCCATAACATGCAACTTGTTCAAACAAATCAAATTATGAATCATCCGTAATAGATTTATAGTTTTTATGTAATTACAACATCTTAATTCTTATATTTTTCAATCTATTACTTTTATACAAGGGCCCTAGACAGAAAAAGACTTATGACGCAAAAATTATATTGAAAAGAAATAAATGGAATAAAAAACATCATATGAAAAAAAACATATTTAAGTTATACGACATAATACTTTTAGTATTCATAAGGATAAGTTTTTAAACGAAATGCTGCAAACGTAGGCAACATAAGTCACAAACTTGTACTCCTAACACCCTATTCACATATTCTTATCTTCTTGCCTTTTGAAGTGCAAACTCAGTAATAACATTACCACAATCAAGACTAGCTAGCATTTTTTTTCAATAGATAGCATAGCTAAGCCTCTTAATCTATCTTCGAGCATTGTTGATTGTAGATAGCTTTATAAGTTTCAACTTTGAAAAGCTTCTATCCGCAGTAGCCATAGTCAGCGGCATAGTGAACATATTTTGTAAGCAATCCAAGCATTTGGAAAAGAAACATGCATATCCTTTTAGTACTCCAACACTTCAATCACTTTTGTTGTGCATTCGGCTAACGATTTTCGAAGCAACTGTAGTTCCGAAAACAACTCAAATGCATCAATATCACAATCGTCCACATGCCTCAAAAAAATATTAAGCGTGTTACAATAACTCACCAATCTACATTTTCATGGTCTGATAAGCTCACAATGTTGCTAGTCTTGCCTGATTTTGTTAGCAATAATAAAAAGGAATTAGGTTAACAATTTAACATAATACACCTATGTTCTTCATCTCCAATTGGCTAGTATCTATCAAGGATATTTTATCCCCATGTCAGGAACATTTCATGTATGCTGGGGGACTTATGTCTCCATCTTTGGAGCATTTTGTTTTCCCCTATTTGAATTTTTTTCTCATTCATTGTACTAATAACTAACAGTATAAGAAAGATAAAAAGATACGATAAAGATAAACATGAGATAAAGATAAAAATGAGAAGACAAACATAAGATAAAGATACAACAAAAAGATTAAACCGAAAGGTTTATAAACAACAAGGTTTATAACAAGGTACACTTATTATTTCAATGATTTTGTGGTGTGCATCAACAACAACCATTACATTAACTGAAGGATTCACTTAAACTACAACACACTTAAACACTAAAACTGAAACAAACACCTAAACACAATACCAATGAACCCTATTACATGCTTCAATTTAAAAAACACGTGAATACTACACTTTGAACTACCCTTCTTTGATTTTCTTCTCATATGGAATTGGTAATTTAAGTGTCATCTTCTCACCTTCATTCATTGTTGCTTGAGTAAACATTTCAATAAGTTGACTAACACCAGCTTTGACATTGTCATCTACACCTCCTTCACCTTCAAGACTTGGATTGTGGCTTCCATTGTTACTACTTTCACCCATTTTCCATTTGAAGTAGTTGCATTGTGTGCAATTATAAAACATTCACCCCTTACTTTTACCAAATTTTCTTGTAACAAAGCATCTTTGAATGCCATTTGAACACGCAGGAAATTTCTTCTTCTTAGGGCATTCACTCAAGAAATGGTTTGGAATCCTACAACTATGACATATCCCATAATTTGTCACCATTTTTGTTCCTGCAAAATGAATCAAACCATGTTCAAGTCTAGAAAATTCAAGCCAAATATACATATATTGGCTTCTTTTGTAAGAACAAAGAAAACAAGAAATACAGAAATCATGAACGACAAAGGGAAGAACGAATAAATTACTTCGAACCTCAACCAAACTAGGCCAAAATCGTTTGATGTTTGCGGAGCTCCTGGACAAATCTCACGACTGGACGAATGAACTGTGCGAATGAAGGTTGGTTTATATTTATTTTAAGTAGGTTTAACTATTTAAACGTTTAAGGAAGTTAATTCACGCTTTTGCCCCTCATTAAACGGAAGTTCGTCTGCTGTTAGTTGGACTTCTGTGGATCGTTGCGCTTACCGCTACACTAAAAGCAATCGCTGATAGTGTAGCACGCCCTTCCCCCTTTTATAGAACAGGCAAAGCGCCACGCGGTCCGATTGCACCGGCAGGCTGGCAGATTGCTGACCGCAGACCCGCGGCAGGCCCAACAATCTCCCCCCAGCACCTGCCAGCCTACAACTGAGCAGCATGCTGTTGCCGGGGGTCGAACCCGTGACCTTTGGCTCTGATACCAATTGTGGATCGTTGCGCTTACCGCTACACTAAAAGCAATCGCTGATAGTGTAGCACGCCCTTCCCCCTTTTATAGAACAGGCAAAGCGCCACGCGGTCCGATTGCACCGGCAGGCTGGCAGATTGCTGACCGCAGACCCGCGGCAGGCCCAACAACTTCTGACGGCGGGGACAACATTTAATGTAAGTTGGTCAACTCGGGGGTGTAATTTGAAATTGGGAGAATTCCCTAAATGGGAGTAAATAAATCCTTAATTGCAAAAATAGGATTAAAATTTAAAAATTCCCTAAATAGGATTTATTATTTGTAGTTGGACATAAATGCCCCTGAAGCTTGATAACATGCTGCCACAGACACATGTCGGATCCACTCTCCGGTCGATGGCCGCTGGCCGCCGGCCGCCGTCACTCGCCGGCCGCCGTCACTCGCCGGCCGCCGTCACTCGCCGGCCGCCGTCACTCGCCGGCCGCCGTCACTCGCCGGCCACCGTCGTGACACAAAATTGGCCATTGTCACAGAACTGGTCGCCGACGTTGCTGTTATGGCCGCAGCAGCTGCAGATCTGGTCGCCGGAGCCACAGATCTGGCCGCCTCCAACCATCCACTGCTGTCCCTGTAAATCCGTCCTCAGCCGCTGCAGATCCGGCCTCCGCCGCTACATCTCTAGCCGCCGCCACTGCTTGCAACATTTTTATCAAAATACCAACATGAATTGAGAATGACATTTTAATGGCATTTTCAAATGGAAACACAATTTTTTTGAAGAGTAAGAATGCCATTTTTATGGCATTTTCAGATTCAATTTGGCAATCTTAACAACTAAAGAAGAAATTGGCCAAGCAACAGAACTGCAACAAAAAACAGAAGAGGGATAACGAGGAAAATAGTAGAGGAGGAGGAGAAGGTAGGAGGGGGAGTTGAGCTTCATTCTGTCGCATCAGATCTGAATTGGATTTGACCCTCTTTGCTCGCCCCTGCTCGGTTCAGGTTTCGCTGTTAGCCGATGGTCGCCGCAGTTGCTAGCCGCTTCTGGAATCTCGTTGTTGCAGGTGTCAACGGGGGAAGATTGAGCAGGCTGGAGAAGATGAGCAGGTTCAGAAGATGACTGATCCGCAGAGAAAAATTTTAAAATCAAAGAAGAAGAAATGATTTGCCAACAAGAGATGTGATGCATTGTTAAAAAAAAAAGAGGCTCATCCGCTCATATGCCGAAGTTGATGCCAGCAAGGGTAAATTTGGAATAGTACTCCTATTTGGGAATAAAAATATATCTACTCCTATTTGAGACTTTACACAATAATTTTGTCCTATTTAGGGTAAAAAACCTTTGAAATTACAGAAATATAGACATGAGATTTTAATTTCATGGATAACTGAGGGACCATATATGCGATTTACCCAATGTTCTAAAAGGCGTAAGGCGTGTCGAGGCGGCACTGTCAAGCCTTAAGCCTTTGAAGCCTAGGCGGGTTTAGGCGGGACTTAGGCGTGAAAATGCGTTTTGAGTTTTTATCCTTTATTTCAAATATCCTAGAGCTATTTTTAAATATTTAAGTTTAATTTATAAACAATAGTATTAGAAAACATCATACTTTTATCATTATATAAAAAAAAAGGTTTGTTGAGTCCTAAGTGGCTAAGTCTAACAAAGACGGAGTACACATTTACCAATTACATTAAGATTGGGACTACAAAAACTAGTTTAATGATACAATATTAATATTAGTAGAAAGAAATAATACCCAATATATGACAAAAAAATTAGTAGACAAAAATGTGACTTAGTAGCTTCTAATGACAATAGAAATATACTTACTCTCACTCTAGTCAAAGTTGTATCCATAAATTCTACTACGTATTATTTTAATATGTAAAAATACCTTTAATATGATAGCAATAAAGCACAACAACAACAATATTAATAACAATAATGAAATAATAATACTAATGCCAATAATACTAATAATAACTAGAACTCGAACAACAATAACATCAATATTCATAATAAAAAATAATAATAGTACAAATGTTCAATAGTTAAATGAAGGTGAGTTTGAGGTATCAAATACGGAGTATTTGCTATCGTATATGGCTATATTTTTGCATATAATGATATAGATAATATAATAGTACGTATTATAATGATAATACAGAAATAAGGCTTACTAGTCATGCACGAAAAAGTAAGATCTGAATCGTTGTCATTACATTTTAAATTGTGATATTGATCAGTGTTGAGTGATTAATATATTTGGGAGTAGTGTGTGATGAAATATGAATGCATGTTCTAATAATATTTTTGTGGTGCAATTTTTTGCGGGCAGTTTTTTTAGATTTCATTAATGTTTTTGGACTGTTTTTTTGCATATGTTGACGCAGTTTTTTTGCAAATCTTTTGGCATTTTTATGGTGGTATAATACTATGATGTTTTAGTTTTAATAGTGAGTAGTGATTGAAGTTAGTTATCTTATGTTCATGTTACTTTAATCATTTTTATATGTTTGTTTATTGTAATGAATACTATATAGGATAATCCAATAACTGGTGAGCAGTCTTCGGCTCTTGAGAATTGGAAGGATCAACACTTGACTCGTAGTGGTGAATGGAGGACTAAAGAAGCACATGACAAATATGTAAGTAAATGATTTTTTAATTAATTGTATCCTTAATAATATGTAATTGTTTTGGTATATAATTTGATAGGTCCGAATGAGCGAGGAGTACCAGACACAATTAGAACAAGCAGGATCATCTTCATCAATAAATGAAATTGATATCATGAACCGAAACTTGAAGAATCATCGAGGACGGCAAAGTGGAGTAGGTCCTACACTGTCAAAGAGTGCATCTCGTCGCTTGGAAGATGGTGCTACTTCCACATTGCAAGATCACCGTGATGCTCAGATAAGTGAATTGCGGGCAAATCAGGAATTGATACTCAGTGCTCTACGACATTTTATTCCCGGCTTTCAGTTGCCTTCACGCGCCTCCGGAAGCGACGTTCCTTCGATGTCCAGTGCGAATCAACCTGATGAGAGCCACAATGATGATGATGATCAGAATTAGTGATAGCATGTTCAATATGCGTTCTAATTTGTTAATGTGGATGAGTTTATGTCTGTTTGAATTATGACTTTGTTTGACAGGAATTACTTTAGTTTTAACGTTAATTTAATATTATAAGACATTTAACGAATTGATATGTTGGGAATGATATTAGATTTTGTCATTTTGATTGTGTCAACTTTGATCTTGATTAAAAATTGTGCAGCAGGTATAAACAATATAAAATGAATATATACAATTTTTTTAATTATTTGCGTCGACATATTGACGCAAAAAAATTAGTAGTAAATGTGGATGTCATCTTTGGCGTCAACATGTTGACGCAATTGATCTCATTATTTGCGTCGACGAGTCGACACAATTAATACTATAATTTTTTGCGTCGACATGTGGCTGATTATACCCGTACTATCTTTTCCGTTCACAAGTCGACGCAAATAAGTTTTTATCATTTGCGTCGCACACAGTTGACGCAAAAAAACTATTTGCGTCCGACTATTTGTGTCGACCTTTTTGCGTCGACAAGTGGACGCGAATAAGTTATTTGCGTCGATTTCCTACTTTTTGCGTCGACAAAATGTCAACGCAAAAGACCCATTTTGTTGTAGTGTGAGTAATGAGTACAAGTGGCTGAAATTAAGAATTCGCAACATTTCGCTTATTCCACGTTTTTAGTCTCCCACTTTAGTTTCCCATAGTTAGTTTTCCCACACCGGAACTTGAAGAAGAATTCCTCCATCCCACCCCTATTATAAACTGACTAGTGCGCTTAAGTGTTTAATGTACTCGCCTCCGCGTTGTTCATGAGCCAGTTTGCCCAATAACTCTTTTTGTTGGGCTAGAAGCTTAAGTTAACAAATATTTCAGCTAGTAATGGCTTTCCCACGCCTTTGACCGCGCATTGAAGCTGTGCGGGGCGTTAAGTGTGCGCCCAGCGCCTAGGCACGCCTATGCGGCGCCTAATGGCACCTTTTAGAACACTGGATTTACCCTATAATAAATTAATAGATCTCAAGCTTGCAAATCCAGAATACAAACTCTAGTTTTACTGTATTATTGTGATAATAATATTATTAATTCTTAATAATAATAATAATAATTCTCCCCAAAAATAATAAAAATAATAATAATAAAAATTAATTGATGCCCTTAATAATCATTTAACAAGTTATCAGTCGATTGTAAACAGCTATTTAACCAAACATCATTTTACGAACTGCTAATATTATCAGCTAATCAAAATAGCCAACAAAATCCGTTGTTATGAATCACGCGCTACAATCAGGCAACCGCCAACTGCCAAACACCCCTAAGTTAGTTTGTGCTAGTATGAGGTAAAATTCAAGAATTGCAATTCGATAAACATGGACCCTATATGGCTATATTTGAACCAATAAAGTAAAATTAAATATGAAAGCAGAGTACTCAATTCGAAATTGTTATAGCACGATTATTAATTTATTATTAACACCAAAGCTTTGCATCAATCTTAAAAAATTAAAAATATGACCCCGTAATACTATACCGGTGATCAAATTGAACGTGGAGAAAAGGGCAACACGTACTACATCAATGTGTCCCTCCCCATAAGTGTACGATCAATACATGCATACAATGAACCGGGCAAAAATGTCCAAATCCAAATCCAAATCCAAATCCAAATCAGGCTTAACCCGTTAACCCTGCGGTGTATTTCACGCCCGTTGAGGGTAACCATGAGTCACCCAAAAGGAACTCAGCGACCGTGAAATTATGAGCTTGAGCCGAGTTGTTCATCAGGTGGAAACCGGGCCACTTCACCCGGGTACCCATACCCGACCCGGGCCCGTAGTTCGAAAACTCCGCGTAAAACAGGGAGTCCAGAGCGAAAGTGCCATTCCATTCGAGCCAGCCTTCGGGTCGGATCGCGCTACCCATATACGATTGCATAAACACCGTTCGCGAATAGAGCTTCCACGGCCTGCCGAGATACGTGGCGGTGGTGTTTGCGGCGGCGATCACGTCCGGCTCGGCCGTAATGTTGCAGAATTGGATGGAGAATCCGGTCGGCTCCGCCGGGTCCTTGCGGCCGTGCGCGGTGATGGTGTTCTTTTGGCTGGGGAGACCTTTCCTGACGGAGATCTCACAGCTCTGGAAGACGGTGGTGCTGTCGCCGAAGATGAAATCCACCGTGCCGGTGATCTTGCATTCCCGGTAGAACTGGCGCATGGAGTGGGCGTAGAGCGTGTCTTGGTAACCCCGAATCGCACACCGGAATAGCACTGATAGATCGGAGTCGGATCGGAAAGCCACTGCCTGATGCTTTTCCGGCCCCGCCGTGTTCTCAAATGTCATGTCCCGTGCTATAAATCCTCGGGCTTTCACGGCTGCAACAAAAATAGCCCACCTTTAGTTACTTAAAAGTTAAGTTAATAAAACTGTTACCGGTAGATAATTTGTGAGTAAAATCATAAGTGTGATTGCTACTACTTTTTTTTGTCAATGATAAAAAATTTGATCAATAGTTTTGCGTATTTGTTTATAATTTATAAATTTTACAAAGTATATTTTTATAAAAAAAATTTAAATAAGGAATTTTTTGATATAATTTTTACATTTAAATAATTTTTTTTTTTAATTTTTTTTAAATTTCATTAATGAAAGTTCATTGTCATTGACTAAGAAAAGCCAAATTCGCAACCATTTCAGGACAAAGGGTACTATTTAAAAAATAAATATAAAATATTTTTATTTCAAAATTTCAAAACATGTTTACTCGTACTTGGATTAATTTCTAAAATATGTATATACGAAGTACTAATTAATTTATGAATTGTCTATTAATGTTTATATTCCTAGTATTACATTATTAATTTAAAAATTAATAAGAATGTAAAAATTGTAAATTATTGAAAAATAATAATATTGAAAGAAAAAAGTTGAGTATTAAACAAGATATTTTAATTCAAAATTTGTTACTCCGTACTTTATAACACAAAATTCAAAACTTCCTTCAAATATTCAGTACAAATAAATACTTCTTCCCATCTGGTTTACATTTAAATACTATTCCGTACAAAATAGTCATTTCATTTATTGGGCATATAAATACTCATGTATGTCCTTTTCAAAAAAATTCATGGCCGCCCCAGATGACAACGGCCGGACAGAACCTCCTATATAAAGACTTATTTGACCATTTTTAGGCAATTTCGAGTACCAAACTGACATTTTCCTCCTAAAAAACGTACTATGTCATGTCACCTAATTTTTCCCATCTTTGATTTACAAATCAAATTAAAATTAGACGTAGTAATAATTACTTTTAACAGAAAACTGATGCCTTTTGAACAATCAGATCTGTTATATTAATCTAAGCGAAGAAGTATCGATTACTACGTGAGAACTTCTTGTTATACACATTTTTATACCCCTTATATTCATCATGTCTGTGAATAACTTTTTTGTCTATGAATCCGATTTACAGACAAACTAATTTGTACAAACATATTTTGTCTGTGACCGGGATGTACAAACAAAAAAACTGTGCACAAATATGGTGGGTATGAAAATGGTATAAGGGTGGGTACAAAGATTTTTTATTACTACGTATGGAAGACACGTGGTAAGAGAAATATACATACAATGAACATTTTACGCGTGAACAAATTCCATATTGAACCATATTAATTAAATCTCAATAAATTTGAATGAATCATTCAACATTTGGTAATCTACTGGTTTCCTTTTCAACAATATATGGTTAGATTTTACGTCTTTTTTCTTATGGTAAGTGGATTGAAAATGAGGACTTGTCGTTTTCCTAAGCACGACTCTACCATGTCGGCACACATCATTTTCTCTAACGTTAGTGTCCGATGATAATATTAAATTCTTACCAAAAGTTGCAGATCTGTACGTGGTCCAGCCGTCAATAAAGCTTCTATTGCCGGTAAAAATGGTGACATCCATTCCATCTCCGATCAGCATTATGTTCCATTTCTTCTTCCCGATCTCTACATATTCTCTGTACACGCCCTTCTTGACGTAGATTATGTATCGCCGGTTGCTCATCTCAGGGGCGGCGGAGATGGCGCTGGTCAGTGACGTGTAATTCCCGGAGCCGTCGAGCGCCACCACGGCGTCCGCCATAAGTCCGTCGACCTGGATAAGTTTCCGGTCGTTGTGTTTGAGCCAATAGGGGAGTTTTTCCCTGAGGTTCCTGCCAATGGGCTTGGGCCCGGGAGTTGGGCGGACCATGTCTAGAACTTGGCGGACCGAAGAACCTAATTGGGTCAGGCTGCCGGAAACCAGATTTTTGACGAACCCGTTGGTTCCTTCGAAGCCATCTAAGCATGTGTCCTGATTGGTCATTGCGCCGCTCAGCCATGTTCGTAAATCCACGCTCAAATTTCCAGTAGTGCCATTTTCCTTTTTACCTGTGCGTTTATAAATACATGAACAAATAATTAATCCCACGTCATAAAATCTTGAAATTCTTCCCGTAGTATAATGGATGTAGAGATAGGCGATAAATTGATTTAGTTTATTGTATGAAGATTTTTTTGAGATAATTTTTTAGTCATAATTTTATAAATGTATAATTAAAGTCTTTTATAAGAGAGAATTCCCCAAACAGGAGTAAAAGATAGGCAAAATGCAAAAATAGGAGTACCATGTTTTGAATAGGAGTAAATTTAATGTTTAGACACGTATATCCCTACCCAAGTCCCAACAACTTTCATTAATAATTAAAACATAAAAGAAATAACAATAATTTATAATAAAATTGTAAAAAAATGACAAGGCACAAAAATATACCAAATAAAACATACTTCGTATTAAATAAAATTAATAAAAGTAAAAATTATTAAAATAAAAAATATTAAATAAAAAACTAAAAAATTAAAATTAAAAAAAAAAGCTAAAAAAAATGTAGGCGTCTGCCGCCGCCTCAATAACCTCCCAGCACCACCAGCTCCGACCATCGAAACAAATGCCAACATTTTTTCGAAATGCCATCATGATGGCAGATTTTGAGAAGATTTGGCATTTTCAAAGAGCAAAACTGCCATCTTTATGACATTTTCAAAGAAAAATGGAAGTTTTAACATAAGATGACATTTTTTTCGCCGATCGGAGGTGACATTGCTGGGTGATGGCCGAGGTTGCGGCAAAGGCCTGCATATTTTTTTTTATATTTTTTAATGTGGTTTATCTATTTTTTATTTATTTTCAATTTTTTTTATTTTTTTAAAAAATATTTTTTTTTTAATTTTTATTATTTCAATATATATTTTCAAATATTTTAGAATTTTTTATATTTTATTAGGATCAAATAAGTCATATTTTAGAATTAACTAGGTTAGGGGTATTAAGGGTACAAAATTAATGTTTACTCCTATTGAAGGAAGTTTTAAGTTTGACTCCTATTTGTGCAATTATGTTTATGTTTACTCCTATAATGGGCAATTTCTCCTTTTATAAATTCAGGCTAGATTGGAGAATCATGTGCCCTACATATGCTCTTTAAGCCTCTCAATTACATTTGATCTGAAATGTTGTCAATTGTTTAAGGGCCAGTTTGGTTAGGGGTTTTGGAGAAGGTAGAAGCGGAGAGGTCACATTTAAATTTAAAATAATTACAAAATAATATATAAAAAATATATGGCAATATGGCATAGTTAATTACGTAGTATATATGTTGTTTGTTGTCTAAAACTAATAAATGAGAAATTGATAAGTACAAAATCAATCTTTCCCTCTTCTCTCAAATCTCTCAACCAAACTCAATATACTCCGTATCCAATATAATTTATTCGAATTGTTAACAAATTAATCCAAGGTAATTGGAATTTCAATGTAACAAGTACCTAAACTCAATATGATGCAATTTCATACGGAGTAAGTATATTACTATATTTTACTCCAATTTATTATTCTAATTTACACACCGACATTTGCATGACAATTAAGTGCAACGTTGCAAACTGCAAAGAAGAATTTTCTTTTTATAATGAGGTTTTTATTTACTCATACTGGCAATTCAATGTCATGCCTAAACTTTTCTTCTTAGCTAGTGACATTACTCTCCACTTCAAGTTGTCTTCAACTAAACTTTTTATCAAACTGTTAACGATGATTTACTTACATATTAAGGAAACGAATACTCCGTATATCTTATAGACTATAAAGCTAGTACTCCAAGTCTCTAACAATTTTAGTATTCACAATTAATGTTAAAGGATGATATTTATCTAGTTATCAAAATTAATAAACAGATTGTTTTGAGCTTGCCGTCTAGGCGGGGAAAATTGAGAAATCTGGGTAGGACTGAGTCGAAAAATAATTACACTAAATTCAAACATCAGCATGGTGACTAATTATAGAATATAAAAATTTAACTGAAAACTGAATTTTTTTATATTGCTCGAGACTTCAGCTCACTGGGTTTGACAGGGTCGCATGTGCTCTTTATTAAAAAAGTATTTCCATAAACTTATACGGAGTATAAACTTAAAACATTATTTAAAAAAAAGTATTAATCAAAATCGGAGATTTTGTTTGCCAATTCCAAAACTAACACGAGACTGTACATAAGCATGGCAATACTTTAACTTATTACACAAAATTACAAACAAAAAGTACGGAGTATATCTTAGAATCGTAAGACACAGAATTAAAAAACTTTTTGACAGCTACACGAACGGACTCTAAATTGAGAAGATGATTTGAAAAAGAAACAAAATGTCATCAAAGTACACGTGCTAATTGTTTAAAATTTTTACCACTTTTGGTTCTCTAACTTCGACTCATATAACAAAAACACTTTCCATATTAGCGTTTGAAAATTTCCATATTTAATCTTACGAATGTCATAAAAGTGATATCTTTTGTTCTTCAACTATTATAATAGTGACATTTTTAGTCCTACACTTATTTTGTCAAAATCATAGTATTAGGATTAAAAGTGCCAATTTGATAATACTTAGAAAACTAAAGGTGAACACTACAAGAAAACCACTTAATAGTGACGAAAACCTAATGACGGTAACAAAAACCTCTCATTAAAAGTACAATTTCCATACTTTTTACGAGAGTAAAAGAAACCCTCATTAAAAGAAGAGTTAATACTGACCAAAATTGAATCTTAGACATTTCGACCGTCATTATAGGCTACGGAGGATGTTGGATGAAAATTTTGGCTCCAACTTTCCCTCTAACTCACCATTTACTCCGTATGTAATGTTTATTTAATAATATAATAATATACGGAGTAATTGTTTTTTCTTAAAAGCATCTGAAATAGGGTTATGCATATGGGTCGGTTGTGGATTTTTCTTTCTTAAGACACTCATCTCAAACTGGAGCGGCGGTAACCATGGAGAAGACGAGGAAAAAAATCAGTCACTGCCGACAACTTATCTGGCTGCGACCAACGACCACAAAAAGAATGTAGGCAGCAGTCACGGGTTCGTTTTTTCAATTTATCGCACTCCCCCCTGAGATCTGTGTTATTGATGGGGCAAATATTCTGCGATTTACATAAGGGTATAATCCTTTTTTATTTTTTATCACTAGTTTACTTCGCAAACTTGGTTTTCTTGCCAATCTGGTGTAAAGTTATATATATCATGGTGGATTTTGTTTCACAGGTGCGGGTTTGCTAATTGCTCTGCCTTTTCTCGACTTTTCTCATCATCACTGGCCTGTAATTCTCTGGCTTTTGGTATTTGTTTGGTTAGTACTTCGTCTAAAACTTTATGCCAAATTTTCTTTAATTTTCACTAGATTGTTGTGATTGAATCTGAAACTTTTGATACAGCCCATATCTTGATCTTAGGAGTTGTTGACTGAACCGTTTCTAGTTAGTGAGGGTCGTATGATGTATTTGACTGAATCGTTTCTTGTCATTCTTAGCAGTGTTCAAATTATGCCCACCATGTGTTTGATGTAAGTCGTATGAAGGCCTGAAGGGATATGAACAATGACAAGTAAGAAGGAACTAGTAAAAACTAGGGGTGCAAACGAGCCGAGCCGAGCCCGAGTTTATGTAGGCTCGAACTCGAGCTCGAATTATATTGTATTGGCTCGAGCTCGAGCTCGGCTCGAACGAGCTTAAAAAATCCGGGCTCGAGCTCGGCTCGCAAATATTGATTCGGCTCGATTTGGCTCGACTCGGCTCGGTTCGGCTAGATAATTTTGGTTCGTTCAAAAGTTACAAGTTCAATTAGCTCGAAAGTTCGTGTTCGAACTCGAGCTCAAGTATGAAACAATCTTTAAATATATGTGCTTAACATTTGCAAATTGCAATTTACATGCCCAATAACTAAACCTTACGGGAAAATAAACAAAATACAATACTAACTTCAAGTCTCCACCCAATTGTACTTCAAATATAAATCAAAAGTGATCAACCCATTAAGAAATAGTGGATGAAACTTTGATTATTTTTGTTAAATTACTTTGTAATTAATAATATCTCCCCGGTCCTCATATACATTTATGAATCAGTATTATATATATATATATATACATATACACAAATATTCCTGTCCGGACGTCCGGACAGGAACCGCCGTACGGACCGCGGCGTTTGGCCGCCTTCCCGGTGGAATTTTTTGATGAAATTTTTATGGCATGTTCTCCATCAAGTCTAGTTTATCCACAAAAAAATTCAGCTAAAAACTCAATCGGGAAGGTCGTCAAATGATTTTTGCAAGTTAACTGGTCCGGAATATGTATTTTCCGGACCAGTTAACTTGTAAAAATCATTTGACGACCTTCCCGATTGAGTTTTTGGCTGAATTTTTTTGTGGATAAACTAGACTTGATGGAGAACATGCCATAAAAATTTCATCAAAAAAAGCCACCGGGAAGGCGGCCAAACGCCTTGGTCCGGACGGCGGTTCCGGTCAGGAGCTCCTGACCGGATCATTACTCTATACATATATATATATATATAACTAATTTATATTATATATTACATATACTAATATATACTCCGTATTATATATTAATTTGTATTGTATATTAATATATTACACAAATAACTAGGCTCGCGAGCCGGCTCGCGAGCTAGCGAGCCTAAAATCAGTAGGCTCGTTTCTGGCTCGACTGCTTAACGAGCCGGCTCGAGCTCGGCTCGAGCTTGAGTTTGACCGATCTCGATCCGAGCTTTGACCGAGCGGCTCACGAGCGGCTCACGAGCGGCTCGGCTCATTTGCACCCCTAGTAAAAACCTTTCTTTGTTTAAATGAAGTTTTATCCAAAATTGCATGAGCAAATTGCTTAGTTGCCATAAGTAATACTCCGTATGTGTTTCGTTTACAAATTTTTGAGTTCTCTTAAATTTCCTTTGCATTTTAACATACTCCAGTTGAATTGTAAGACCTCTAATAAGATGGTTGATGTTTACTCTTATTTAATTTTCAGGTTATTTGGATATCTAAAATTGCATGACCAAATTGTTCGGTTGCCATAAGTAATATGTATTTAGTTCACAATTTTTTGAGTAGATTTCTTAAATTTCCTTTGCATTTGAAATCGCTGTTTCTTCTCTGAAAACAGAAAGAAGGTATGATTGTTTATAAAAGAAATGCGTATATGGTGTGACTAGAGAGGGAGTCTGATTATAGAGATCAACTAAACTTGGACGTGGTTGATTGGAGCAATTAAAGAAGGGCTGAGAGGTAGTCTGATTATGCAATTTAATTATTTACTTCTGCTTTGAACAATGCTGAAATTAGCTATAGTCCACCAAATAGGTTTAGGAGTAATTATTGAGTTTCCCTGCATGCATGTGCTTTAGTTGGGCTTGTAGAAATTTAGTGCAGCTAGTCCTTGTGGATTCATTGGTATCTCTTGTGATATTAATATAAGAAAATTGTCTCCATCTCTGCTATATAACTGAAAGCATTCAAGCTATACACAATTTAATTTTTATGTTAGTTTACCAAATGTGGGTATGTTTGTGTTTGTTTGTCTGATGTTTGAATTTTCATGAATTCGTTGCAGCATGTGATGACAGTTTGAGGGCAAAAATGTAATCAGAAGAAGCATGGGATTTGGGAAGCTAAGTTGACCAATACAAAAGTGGAAATATCAAATGGTTTCAAGAGATAAAAATCAATCAATTGGTTCTCTGTTGAACGAGAAACAGAGAGAAGTCCATGAGGGTTGTGTTGAAGTTAGACAGCATAAATGTGAGGAAGTTTACAGCTTCAATCCATGTAATAAAAAGGGTATACGCCCATTTTTAACTATGTAATCAAGTTCAGAGTTCAGACTAGGCTCTATGTTAAACAGAACTTGTGTTGTTTATAGGAAAAATATATTTGTTTTGTATACCTTTTATTTTTGCATGTACTTGTAATAGTAGTTATAAATATCATTACATAACAGATTTGAAATGAAAATTGAATATTATTTAATGACCAAAAATTATTATTATAATATATTAATGGAGTGTTACAATTATTAAAAAATGTTTTTAATGAGGGTACATTTACCCTCACCATATGCTTATTAATGACGGGTGGCCTATACTGTCATTATATATTTTTAACCGCGGAAGCTGTAGTGAGGGGCCATGACAGGATATTTCCTGTCACTAAAAGTTTTTTATGACGGGATTTGGACTTTTAACCACGGTATATCCTTTCACTACAGACCAAGTTTCTTGTAGTGGAAAAACTTTGAAGTCGTGGACAAAAAACATCTCGAACACAATACTTGAGAATTAAAAATGAAAAAATTGAAAGTGACACCATGGGATTGAAAGCGGAAAAATCTCAAACTGATTTAATTGTTCATTCAACGTACTCCATATCATTTTAGGTCTATCAATCAAATTGATTTGTATAATAAATAAGTGCGCATTTTATTCTGTTTTTTGATCAAAAGTAATTCAAATGTAAATCGAAATATAGGAAAGTAGACTAAGAATGTTTTTACTTGGACTGTAATTTGTCCCAGACCAGACCAGACCAGTCCAGACCAGACCAGACCAGACTTGGATAGTTATAAAAATACAAAGAAACCAGACCTTACCAGACCAGACCAGACCAGTTCAGACCAGACCAGACCAGACCAGACCAGCAAATTACAGTCCAAGTAAAAACATCCTAAACTACAACAACAATAAAACCATAATATATTGAAAAATAAGATCCATGTATTCAAAGCAAATCAAATTACACCAAACCATTCAAAAAAAGTTTAGTTTTAATTCGATATATCGTTTACGCGCGCCGTTTAAACCCATCAAAAAATCGAAAATCCCCAAACCTGAGATTTCCGTGCTTGAAAAATAATTGAATTAAAATCAACTCATAGTTTTTTCTGGAATGAACGAAATTGAAGAATATGAGCCACCCATGATGAAATATAATGCCATTTTAAAGTATTAAAAAGAAAATGTTGAATTTCGTGACCGGCATGATCTAAGACGAGATATATAACACTCCGATCCTTAGGAGAAAAAAATTCATAGAGAAATAGCAAATTTCTTTTTTTTGAAGGAAAAATTCACAAGAATAATCTCACCTTTCACCGGTCTTCTAATAATAATCCCACCTTTAAATAATCCCAAAATAATCCCACCTTTGCACCTCATCTTCTTTCATTGGACCCTGACCATGTTTTTTACTCTTTTTTTGAAAATCATATAAATGATCTCACCTTTCACTTTTTTATTATATCTTTATAAATGTAAGATTATTTATATAAGATTCTCAAAAAAGGTAAAAAAAACTTGGTTAGGGTCCAATGGAAGAAGATGAAGTGCAAAGGTGGGATTATTTTGGGATTATTTAAAGGTGAGATTATTATGAGAAGACCGGCGAAAGGTGGGATTATTCTTGTGAATTTTTCCTTTTTTGAAAGGAAATAGCAAATTTCTTAAGAATAAGAAAGTAATTATCTTTTTTAAATATGCATCATCAATATTCCATACCCAATAAAAGAATTTGTAGCCACATAAAGATTGGTTAGTATACTTACTAATTAACCACTCTATGTATATACTATATGTAGTGTAAAGTAAAGAAATATATTTCCACCATTCTTAAATAGATGCAAGTTAAGTTTTATATTCTTTATTACATACTCTAGTTTGGTTTTTTAATGTACTAGAAATTTAATTTTTGAAAAATATTGTGATAGCAGTTCACTTTAAATGTTCAAAATACGAACTATTTACCTTTTAACTTATATAAGAAATGTATCTGGTCAAAATTATGTTTGGATAAATGGGAAAATAGAAATATTAGAACTAAAAAAGAACAAGATATACCGTAATTGAGCTGCTGAGAAGCAGAGAGAGTGGTGGAGAGCTCATCCGCAGAAAGCTCAAGCAGGTCAAGGCAATCGGAGACCGCGTTTGAAAGCCTCAAATCTCCGCCAAAGAAAGTCCCAAACTTCGACACAATGGAGGTCACCTGCCGGACGACGTCTATGGTTGTCCTCAACGACCCGATGAAAACCGCAGCCGAAGCCGAATCCCGCAAGAGCTCCGCCGGAACAATCGGGTCCACGCCGCCGTCTCCGTCGCAGTGGGACACCGGACTCAAGCAGCACAGCACAGCCAAACAGAGCACAGACACAAAACGACCCATTTTTGTTTTGGGTCCAAATAAACTGATAATGAGGTCAGCTAACTAGCTCACTATAAAAATGGTCTGGAAAAGATGAAGGCAGCTTATAGTAGTTATTGAACAGAATGTGAAAAGGAGGGGCTTTTGCTGCTGTGAATTCCCAGACTCATTGATTACTAATGTCAGGCTCTTGAGAAGTAGTTAAGTGAGAAAAATAAAGGCCAGATTTCAAAGCAGACAGGCAACCACTTCTCTATTGATCTGAACAGGGGCTAACATGGACTCTCTCAATGTGTATATATAATGCTGCACCAGCAATTACTTTGTTAGTTGACAGCTAACCACATCACAACTCACTTCATGAATGTTTATACCAGAGTAGTAGGAAAGGCTTATCTGATCTCCATGCATTAAATAGGCAATGCTTGACAATTAGCACATCTTTTTTTATTTGGAATAATAATTTGATTGATGAACAGTTGTCTTTCTCTCTTTTTTGATGTTGATATTCTGCCACTTGAAACACTTTTACCACGATTCTTCTTTTCCCTTTTCAGATTTTATAGTCTTTAATTTGTGATTGTTTCGATTTCTTATAATTAATTCCATTTTTCATGTTTTTATTTTTAAATATTGGAAACATGTTATAGCCACATAAGGAGAATGTAGTAATGTCCCGAAAGTTATGCTGGATTCGGACAATGATAATGGTCATTAGCACTGAAAATCAATAATGACAATGATAAGAGTTGATGATAATAGTGGTTTATGTGATTGTAATTATTAGGATGTTTTTTAATAGGACAAATTTTAGATTGAGAACAGATAAGATTGGATCGGATCAAATCAGACTTAAATAGTTTGGGTCAGAACATATCAAATCAGACTTTGACGGATGTAGAATACACATAGAACATGATTGTTTCAAACTAGACATAAACCGATCAAATCAGACCAGATATAAATAGACTAGAGTCGTCAGACCAGATCAAACCATCAACACGTACATAAGGGGTATATAATAGTGTCATGAAAGTTATGCTGAAAGTACAACAATGATAATGGTCATGAGTAACGTTTTGTAATAGTTGGTGATGACAATGGCCTACGATATTATAGTGTCATATTTTCCTGATACTTGTCTGTGAAGTTATAGGTGACACTAAATTTATTGTCACTTGCTTGCTGCCACTTTCAGTGATACAAGTTTAGTATCATAAAATCTTTGAGCTAATCTTACATCACTATAAGTCATGCATGTTTCTAGTAGTGAACAACGTTAGTGATTATAATAGTCGCTTATGTGATTGTAATTAAGCCAACGGTGACAATAGTTGTTGTTAGCAATGGTATCTTTTTTTGTGTATGTCGGATTGCTGCTGCCGCCGCCGTCTTTAGATGTAGTCCTCAATTGTGGTGGCGGCCGGTCATCCGTTGCATCAATAACAATGCTAGTTTAATTAGGGGCTTGTAATAGAAGCACATGTTGCCTCCTACGATCCAAGGCACGACATTTCTAAGGCAAATTAATTGTGAAGGCTTCGGTCACCATCCAAATCTCCACTAATCCACCACTACAAAAAATGACGGGATTGACACGGTTTTGGAACGGATTTACCAAAAAAATCGTGCCAAATAACTCGTGCCAAACTGTTTTTGACACGAATTTGGCATATCCGTTGCCAAAATCCTTGCTAATTTTGGAAAATCCCTGCCAAAAATTCCTCTCAATCACGAGTTTTTTTGTAGTGCACCCATTTGGTTAAAAAGTCAGTGGCAAGAAACTATGGTGTATTTGAACTTGGAATATGATTGGCATGAACTCTCAATGTCAGTACCGTAGGTGTGGTGGTGATTACACTTGGTCATAGTATGAAATACAAACAATTGCGATGAAAATAATAATCTTTATCTTAGGTCATCCGGTCATCCCACTTTGTAATTTCTATAAAAACTTGTGCCAAAGTCTTTCTAGCCGTTCATGTTTCCTCATGACTATGTCAATGAAGAGTCCATGTATGGTAATGGTAAATGGGTAATGGCATTGACAAGAATGATGTTGTTGAATACTCCGTATTACATAGTACGGAGTATTAAAAAGGGATAGAACTCATCATATATGAGAAAACTTCATGTCAGGCCGGCCTGACGGGCTGCCCCGTCCGGCCGAGCCCGTTTGGGCACCTTCCCGGTTGAATTTTTTGATGAAATTTTTTGAGCATGTTCCTCGTCAAGTCTAGTTTGTCCATACCAAATTTCAGCTCAAAATTCGATCGGGAAGGTTGTCAAATGATTTTTGCAAGTTAACTGGTCCGGAATATGTATTTTCCGGACCAGTTAACTTGCAAAAATCATTTGACGACCTTCCCGATCGAATTTTGAGCTGAAATTTGGTATGGACAAACTAGACTTGATGAAGAACATGCTCAAAAAATTTCATCAAAAAATTCCACCGGGAAGGTGCCCAAACGGGCTCGGCCGGACGGGGCAGCCCGTCAGGCCGGCCTGACATGAAGTTTCCTCCATCATATATATAGTTCGTATTCGGGAAGATGTAAACGGAGGGAAATATAGTAGAGTTTCAGCCCAACTGGTTGTGAGGTTATCGTGCCTAATAAATACGTAGTATTATATAGTTATAAGTAATTATTCTAAATGAGACTAAAACATGGTTAAAACTCCAAAATAGGACTTGAAGTTTTAAATTGCATAAATGGGATCCCTGATTACATTTTTACCCCCAATCCCCAAAACACCTTTTCCCCAATCCCTCTGTCTCTGCATCGATCGTGATACCTGCGAGTATTTCCCCTTGCGACTCAGCTCAACCGCCCTCGACTCGACCTGCTATCGTCGCCGCTGCTTGCTCGACGCCGGCCGCCACTCTTCAACGATTCTCGCATCGCCGCAGCTCTGCCAAGGATGACCTCTGCTGCAATTTTCCAGTCAATTCAAGTCAGGTATGTACTCTTCTTCTTCTTCCTCTTCTTTTCTTCTTCTTTTTCTTCTTCTTCTTCTTCTTCTTCTTCTTCTTCTCAGCCTCTTCAATTTTCTGATACTCTGTTATCTTGTTCTGTGGATTTCAGTTTTATTTATAAAGCAAGAATCTGATAATGCCATAAAATTGTCAATAATTTTTTTGAAGAATGTCATTTATGTGGCATTACATCTATGAAGATGACATTTTTACTTTGAGATTAAAAAACTTTAGAAAAATTTCATAATTGATGTTTAATCCAACACGGATTTGTAATAATGTCACTTTTATGACATTACATTTGCGAAGGTGGCAGTTCAAAGAAAAAAAATGACATCTTCAAAGAGTAATAATGTCATTCGCATGACATTTTTGAAACAAAAATGACATATTTAAAGTGTCAATTTGTTGAGTAACAATGTCAGTTTCATGACATACTGTCGTCTTGACAAATGCAATGTCATAAAAGTGACATTTTTCTAATTGCTTGAAATTTATGGCATTTTGAGGTTCCAAATTAATCAAAATTAATAGAGGATAGAAGCCGAGAATAGAGGATCAAAAATTTGGACAGGATTAGAAGAAGAAGCAAAAGAGGAAGAAGCAGGAGAGGAAGAAGAAGACACAGTCGATGGAGGAGTTGGCTATGCGAGGCCAAGCAGTCGATGGGGGAGCAGCCTTCCATGGGAGGAAGAGATGTTCTGCGATGAATTGAAGAGTCGGCGGAGTGATGCGATGAGTTGCAGGGGCTTTTTTTTTTAATTAAGGGCAGTTTTGTCAGGTTGCCTCTTTTTAGTCCTATTTTTGCCAAATAAAACACAGTAGTCCTACTTTTACAATTTTACCTAGTTTTAGTCCTATTTAGGTAAATCTCTCTATAGTTATTTGTAAAAAGGGATAGAACTCATCAGATATATACCTCATCAGCTGTTTACTCCAGGGGGCCAAGACCCCCTTCCCCGGACCCCCTAAGAGTAAAAAAAAAGTAATAATAAAATAAAAAAAATTAAAAAAAAAAAAAAAAAAAGTAGAGTTCCATCCGGAGTCTTTATATACTTTTGAACTGACTTCTCTCTTGTTGCACGCTCATCCTACCACATGAGCTATAACCGGTACTAATGGATATAGTTGTGACTATAGTAAATGGTTTGCATTTTTTGTGTTGCCAACTCCCATGCGTAATTAGTTTTAATTTTAAGAAAACAATATTACTTTGTGGATAAAATCGTTTATAGTTAGCTACAAAAGTAGTTAAAGAACAGTTCAAGGTGATTTTTCAAATTTCAAATTTGGCAACACTAAAAACATGAAATGGAAAAAAGTTAATTTTAAATTATACTTTAATAATTTTCAGATATGAAAATAGAATAAATATGCACACTTGGATGTATTAAAATTTGACAAAGTAAAATTAAGGCAAATTGTATACGGATAAGGTTCAGATTGGACATTATGATTATTTGTGAATCTCATATTGGCCACTAAGGTTTCAATGGACCAAATCGGACACTACATTTACTTGTGAATTTCATATTGGCCACCAAAATTCCATAATTCGTTTTGGGAAAATGGAAACTAATAATCCAACCTTTTAGCAGTCTTCTTACAATAGTCCCACCTTTTCGTTATTCAAGAATAATCCAACCTTTGCACCTCATCTTCATTCACTGGTCCCTGACCGGTTCATGACCTGCTATTTCAAGTTATTTTCTTATCTTTGCAAAATATTATCTTTGTGAAAGGTGAGATTTATGGTATAATGGTTTGCAAAGATATGAAAAATAACTTGAAATAGCAGGTCATCAACCGGTCAGGGACCAGTGAATGAAGATGAGGTGCAAAGGTTGGATTATTCATGAATAACGAAAAGTTGGAACTATTGTGAGAAGACCGCTAAAAGGTTGGATTATTAGTTTCCATTTTCCCATTCGTTTTTGGACACCCACTTATGTGTCTCTTCTTTCGTTAATATAAATTGGCAGTCTTATTTTTCTTTTCCGTTTTGGTATTAACAAACTAACTTAATTGATTTATATAATTTAGAAAATTTAATTTGAGATTTTAAAATATGTAGTTAAATTCTTCGAGTAATTAATAATTTCTTGTATTTAACAAGTTAAAAATATATTTCGGACTTTTCATTTACATGATTTTTATGGAACTTTGGGAAATATCGATTTGTTAAATTGAAATAACAAAATTAAAGAACTCAATTGCCTTATAATAGATTTTCTTGATTAATCAGAAAATCTAATTATATATTCTAAATCTAAATAGATAAAATTAAATTATTTTTATTTTCTAGGTACATAAAACATAGGAAAAGGAATACTAATAGCTTTGAAATGTGAAAAAGCTTTGGTTAGTGTCCAAAATTGATCAGAAAAACGTTAAATTTAATC